TGAGTGAGTAATGTTACCGGAGCCTTAAACATACTCCTCTACCCCTAATTCTGAGGGGGGAAGGTTCAAAAAGCGACAACGTCCTTGTGAGTAGGGGTGGAATAAAAACACAATCACTTGTGATTAATCGTAAGATTTATAAATCATGTAATCACCTTTTTTTTTTTTTTTTTTTTTTCCCGTGCGGAAAGCCCCTCGGATACCAACTGTCGGTGGCATGTCGGACACGAACCGACTAAAACCGCACGCCTTCGCCGGGTACTAATAGCCGGGGAACCAGGTATACCCTAGAAAGGAAGGCCCTGGTGCAATCATGTAATCACCTGTGAGTGACTTACAAAAATACTACAACATAATTATTATTATTACGATAGCCCAAGACTAGCGAAAGGTCTAAATCTAAAAAAAGGTCGTACTCTTCGATAAGAATTTTGATTGATTTTAACGGCATTTATCTTTATCTTTGACGTAATCACAATCACATGTCAAATCGCTGCGACTAAAGCCAATCATTTCATCAAATGAATATGATTTAAAAGTATAAATCATTTCCATGTCTACTTGTGACTTTTAGGTTGCAGTTGTCCATGGTCAACTAACATCAAGTAACTTTATGCCCCTATTTTTCCACCTGTACCATGAAAAGAGGCAGGAATCATCCCATAGTAACGGAACGGAATCATGATTATTATGAAATTTTTATTTTGGTAGTAAAACAATACCGAAACTGATAGATATATTTTGATGAAATTTTCTTAATTAAGTGTTGAAATAATCTAATCAAATTAGCATTTCCTAAATGTACTTACGTTATTATCTTGATTTATATTAACATTATATTAACATTATTATCTATTTTAAATTGAAGTTGTTTAACATGTATGTAAAAATCAAAAGTTATGGAAATTCAGTTTTTTATTTCAACATTTCATAAATTAAACTTTATTCAGCACTTCTCGTTGAACTAAAACTATTTGCTTCTAATTTAATTGAAATTGAGGGCTAACAGTACAAGTAAGGAAAAAGTTGTATTTTTTGTTATATATTAGAGGGGGCAGACGAGGATTCGTGTCACCTGATGGAAAGTGACCATCACCGCCCATGAACGTCTGCAACTCAGGAGTCACAAACGAGTTGTTTGCTTTTATTTCACATAAAAGGTTTTCTTTGCGATTACAATCTTATATTAAAATAGATTTTATTGAATTACAGTTAAAAACACCATCAAATAAGTTTCTTTTCTAACAAAAAGAGCTAATGTCAACCTTTTAACACCCCATTTGCATCGGGGTCTAAAATGTTACCAACTTTCGTCACAATTGCACTCATTTCAGAATGCAAGTTATTTAATACTTAACGATAACTTATAAGGTGAAGTACCTCGACAACACAAATAGATAATTGTATAAAAAACACAACAATCACCAATTATCTGATAATACACGCCGATTGATTTGACGTAATACAAATGTTTTATCCACTAATAATAAATTTGTTTATGTGTACATTTGTTGATCAGGTAACATGTTATTGTTTTCAATAAATTTAATAAACACAGAATGTTGTGTAGTATTATTAATTACACAAGGTGAAAAAATTGAATGTATTTTGTTTTATGAATGCTTTAAAATAGATGAACAACTCTTATATGAATAAATTCTTTGCTCTAAAGGGATTCTTAAAATGCACTCGATACCTTGGCGTTGCGTAGGTATGTGGCTTCACTCTCTATCGCATATATCATGGAGAGTGCTTCTAGGAATTGTTCGGACTAATACCAGCCGCAACTTTCCGCCATCGTGCCACACGGCAAAATTTTCATCCTCATCCCCTGGATAGTTGGTGCTCCACTACTGTGCGCTTTGAGATACACTTTTGACCCGCACAACCAATTTGTGTAACGGGTTATAGTCTGCGGTATTTCCTTGAAGACATTCCTCCGACCTTGAAGAAAAGAGCGTACTCCTTCCTAAAAGGCTGGCAACGCGTTTGTGCCTCCTGATTTGCAGAAGTTCTTGGGCGACGATGGTCACTTTTTATCAGGAGACGCGTCTGCCCCTCTATTATAAAAATATATATATATATACATACAAATACTCACGCCTTCACCCCCAAAAGGGTAGCTAGGGTTACCCTCAAAATTGTATTAATTTTAGTCCTACATATGTAATAGTGGGCACATATACATATTTCTATTTAAACATTCTTATACAATTCGTCATATATATTAGGGAGAGGCAACACTATGCGGTTCGCTGCCGCACCGCCACTATTTTGCCGCATCAGCGTGCACACAGTCACAAAAATATCAGTAGCGTTGCGGTGCCGCATTGAGCGGAGACAGTTCAGTGTGGAATAAATTTCACATTCTTGAGCTAAGGATATGAGATAGTCTATATCTTTATCAGAAAATACGGGAATAAATACACGATCCCAGCAAGCACCTACATTTCACAAATTCGTCAACACATCGGCGGGCAGTGACGTCGAAGTAGCACCGACGCCACACCGACGCAAGTACCCTCCCCCCTCGTCTTGGACTGGTGTGAGTACGGCGCGGCACCGCACCGCACCGAATGGTATTACGTCATCATCAGCCTATAATAGTCCACTGCTGGGCATAGGCCCCTACCTAGAAATGAGGTATACCGAGTGGTATACCATGTCCATGGTATACCGAGTGCTATATCATGGACATTTGTATGTATTATACCGCAGCGGCATTGCTCAGGCGCCGCAACAGAGCCGCACCGCATCATGTGGCCTCCCCCTTATAGATAAATGACACGCAGGCATAGAACAAAAGAGAAAAAAGTAAGGAGAAGCCTATGTCCAACAGTGGACTATTAAAGGCTGTCGATGTGATGATGTGATAGAACAAATGATCGTTTTTACCACACAGTATTCCTGTTCATTTACTTCCTATGCTATAACAGTAAGTAATTTATTATTTAACTCTCATGACCAATTTTCACAAGGATCTTCAGAAACAAGATCGGTTACATAAGCCACATAAAAGCACATGAATGCTGACAGTAGTTGCGGTATGCAGTAGCCATGGCCGAAACCGGTCTCATCATCATCATCATGGCATAAAAAATATTTATTATAAATTAACTGACAGTCTCGGTGGTACAGTGGTAGCTTATAACTACGACTGCTGTGTGTGTGAGGTTTCGGGGTCGATTCCCGGGTCGGACCAATTGTTTGTGTGATCTGCAAATATTTATTCCGGTTTTTGGGTGTTTTATATGTATTGTATGTATTTATAAAAAAAAAGCAAGCGCAAGCTCTGCTTAGTTTGAAACTAGATGGCGTTGTGTGACAGATTAAAATTAAGTGTCTAGTGCTACTGCTTTTTACACTCGTACTTTATGGTTCATTACTCAGACTTATTTATTTATTTATATAACTTGAATTTCGATAATTTCGAAGTATATCTGTATCTTATGAGCGGTGATTGTTTGCATTTCCTGCGATTGCGTAATTTGTAACCCGGTGTCACATTAGCGGGCCACAAGAGTATAGGCTGGGGCCCGAATCCCGTCTGTATGGACAGGCCGACTCAAAACTATGGGCCTTTCTTCAAAAGGCCTACCCAGACCCAATACTGTACTCACACAGTTTTCTTTAACTTTATTTACGGACTAAAAAAAGCCACCTCTGTTTTTTGTTTCGGCGTTACTTCCCAGAGCGAGTCTTAGGAAATGCTGGCTCCTTCTAACAGTAAAGTCTGATTTGAAAAATATCTGAAGAGATTACAGAAATAGATATAATTTATAGAAGCATTGCTGTTTCTTCCGCCTCTCGACAGAATCTGAATGTTGTATTTTAACTCAATTTTAGGCTGAACTTACTTTCATTCTATTTACAGTTTCCAATAAGGAACCGTTATCCGTGTGGTAACAGATGAGGAATACGGAATGTCACCACCCCTATTCATCCCGTGGGTGTCTTAAGAGCCGACTAAGGGAGCAAACTAAGCAGGACTATAGCACTGCAAAAAGAGAAGGAAAACTTGACACAAACCCTATACCAACCCGTTTGGCTAGCGTGGTATAGTAGGCCAAAACCTCCTTTCTAAGGAGAGGCCTATGTCCAGCAGTGGACTATTATAGGTTGTTGATGTGATGATAAATAAGGAACCGTTGTATTACACAGATTTTGTAAGTTTTGAGTTCCAGAAGTTTCTTTAAAACCTTATTATAAGTATACATGACAATAAATAAAATATAAAGAATAAAAATTCTTAACTTTATGGGTAGGTACATAGATTTTTCTCGATAAGGGTAACGGAAAGTTGAAATTGATAATATCTGGGATATTGAAATTTTTACATTCGAAATGCTGAATTTTAAAACTTCTACCAACTTGGAGTGGGTGTCAAAATACAGGGGATTAAGAACTTCTATTCTTAACACAACCTTAATAACACCTTCTGTTAAGAAATGTATGATTTTTCGTATTTTGTTCGCTGCCGTACCGTTCATCCAACCACCATCATCATAGTATTATGCAAGACCAGATGTAACTCGTCAGTTTTATATTTTAAACAAGCGATGTTATGACAATGTAGTATTTACAATATGCTTTTAATAAAACTTTCAATTTAATGAAAATCATTTTGTATAATATTAAAGTAGAAAATGAATATTAAATACTTAGTAAATAAAATTATTCTTCAACATACAACTAGGATGTAATCAATTTTCATCAATATAATTAACAATACATTAATAAAACCAATATCACAGGCGAAACCATCTGTGAACACATAGTGCAGTGTACACAATATAACCACAGCGCTTGTCGGCGCGAGCGCACAGGCTCGTCGTGCGTGCGACGCACACTTCCTGCTCTGCGTCGCCTTGTACCCACACACGGACAAAAAATCTATTTATATGTATCCCATATAGAATACTTTCGTATTATTGATACATTACCGAAATTAAGATTTTGGTTTTTCGATATAATTGTGTTGTGAGTGAAAGTGCGACAATATGACTGACACTCCATTACCGGATGTGGCGCCAAAGCCGGGTAAGTCGAATATAAAATTAGTTCAAATTGTTATTATTTAGGAATTAGAACTAAGAGCTAAGAACGTTACTTTAGTCAAGAATTCGTCAAGTCGGAAGTGAAAGTTAACTTTATATCGCTTAGTAATACTTATTTTATTGAAGTTACCCTCTGTTTTCGGTACCTTCGTTACCTTATCAAAGATACTACAACGGCGCCTTTAAGGGTACTTTAGCAAAACAAAGTTTGTACCAATCTGCCGTCTGCCTTCTGCATAAAATATCACGATAATTAGTTGAATAGTTAGGGTGTGAAGACGTGGGGGTCGTCTACTCGTCTGTAGATGACCCGAGGTATGTCGGGGCACCAGAGACTTCCTTTCTAGGGTATACCTGGTTCCCCGACTATTAGTACCCGGCGAAGGCGTGCGGTTTTAGTCGGTTCGAGTCCGACATGCCACCGACAGGTGGTATCCGAGGGGATTTCCGCACGGAAAAAAAAAAAAAAAAAGGTGTGAAGACGTAACAAACAAACTCACAGTTACGTTAACAATATTAGTGCCACACGTAAGCTAGAAACAGGATGCGGTAAAAATTAAAAAATATAAATAAATGACATTAAAATTTAATAATCAGAGTAACCTGTAATTGAACAGGTATTGGAGCAGAAAAGTGAACTTATTCAGGAAGTGAAGGCAGCATTGGTTTTATAGTTTGAATAGTTCTTAAGACCTTAAAATTTAATTAAGATTTTTTTTTATCGTAAGACATAAATAAAACATAAAATATGCCAATATCCTTAACGAGGATTTAAATGAATAACAAACAAACAACCAAACAACATGTATTGTATTCTAAAGATAAAAATGTGAGGTTCAGTTTATATTTTGGTATATCATGGTACTTACATACTTATATATTCGTCATTACGTACAAATAATAAATGAATTATACCCAAAGACAGAACAAATGGTCGTGCTCATAACACAACTATTTGTTCTGTATGGGAATCGAACCCACGACCTCTGGCTCAGCAGTCAGGAGCTCTAACCACTAGATCAACATGCCCGTCAAATAAAACTTGTATAAATATTACTAAAATACTAGACTTGCAACGAATAGTATATTCGGCAGTATACTGAATACCGAATATACGGCGAGGCCCCTGACCGAATAGCCGAATATTAGGCAAAAGTATTCGGCTGGATTTTAGCGCCAAAAACTTGTACAGACGTGAATTAAATTATGTACCTGTTTTATGTACCAATGACTAATTAATAAATGATTATAAAAGAAATAAGAACCTTACCCTTCTAAATTTTGATTACCACAATAATTCAAATACATAAAATCCTCCATTTTTCCAATTCAGAAGATGATTATGTACCTGTGTTACGAACCAATGACTACTTAAATGATTATCACAGAAATGAAAATATGAATATATACGTAATCAATCGATTTTAATTTTTCATTTTACCAATTATTTCTCAATGACAAAATATATTATTTAAGTATTCGGTATTCGGCCGAATAATATGTAGATATTCGGTATTCGGCCGAATATAATAAAAGCAGCCGAATAGGCCGAATACCGAATAGTAACCGAATATTCGTTGCAAGTCTATAAAATACTCTTTTCTAGATTACTAGGAATCGAGTGACGTATCACTAGTATTCTTGGTCACCTCTATTACTCAGCTACTGATTAGTTTTTGTTCCATCCTAAAATTGTCTGGATTACTCTTAGCAATAAGGCCGCCTTTTAAATATTACATATCTGACATTTTATGGTCCCTACTTCTTGAAAAACGGAGTACAAATAAAGAGTTTTCTATTTATCTTTTTAGTTACGAGGGTAACGTTCCCGGGGTTCGAACCCACAACCTTAAACCGCAAGTGTAACGTTTTAGCTAACACACCACAGTTTATCGAGAATTTATCCGTTTTTAAATTTAAATATACACTAGCTGACCCTGCAAACGTTGTATTGCCAATTTTTTTTTTTAATTTTCAACGCCCCCGCACCCTCTTGGGGTGGAATTTCCTTAAATCCGTTCTTAGCTGACCTCTACTCGTTGAAAAGAATATTCCTACCAAATTTCAAGTCTTTAGCTCTAATTGTTCTAGAGATATTGTGATGAGTGACTATATACGTGGAAATCTCTTATATTTATATAGATATAAGAAAAACTCACGTCATTATTCCCGAAGAAGACAGAGTCGTATAACCGTCAACATTTTTGCTGACCATGATTTCATTTAGTCCCACTTATGTATTCGAGTAGAAGGCTAGCTCCCAATTACATAAATGGGACTATTTGTCCTTGACCTGGTATATAATAATAATAATAATTTCACACATCTCACACACAGCCGTCTGATCCCAAACTAGGCAGAGCCTGTACTATGGTAATCAGACTGCTGATAAACATACTTATATATTTCTAAATACATACATAATATAGATAAATTACACCCAGACACAGAACAAATGATCGTGCTCATCACACAATTATTTGTCCTGGGTGGGAATCGAACCCACGACCTCCAGCTTAGCAGTCAGGGTCACTAACCACTAGACCAACAGGCCCGTCAAAATATATACACATACACATACATATAGTCCTAAATATATACACATTGTAGACTAGATACTGCCTGTTCATATTTCGTGTGTCTAACTCGACGAACGACGACTCAATGACGAACTTCTATACAACCGTTCATCCCTTGTTTTACTCCCCTTTTTTTAAATTTTACGCCCTTATTTTCAACAATCCTTTCTTAGTGAATGCTTACAAAACAAAATCGTCGGCTGAGTCGCAAGCGGTCCAGGCTCTGCATGGATGAATCAGTCAGACTAAATAATTTTGTATGTATAGACAAATTACAACCAGAGACAGAACAAATTATCTTACTCATCATACGACATTTGTCATGGTTGGGAATCGAATTGGCAGTCAGCGACGTTAACCACTAGAGCATCCAGCCAGTCAGTAATTGATTTCAGTCTGTATAACAAAGTTTCAAAGTGTATTTGTAAACAAAAGATTATAAAAATTCGTTTTTGACGTTGTAGCAAGCAAGCAAATGAACGTTTGGCCGATAATAATCAGTCACAATTTACAGTTTTTAATGGTTATTTATTATAGGTGACGTTATAGATTATACATTCTAGTTATCGTACGATAAATAATTGTTTGACCATGTTATAACGATAATACTGTTTAATGATAACACATTTCACCAGCGCGGTTTAAAAGCATTCCATTTTTTTCACGCCTTTATTAGTTCACTTGTTCACTATGTAAACAAATAATTTTAGAATCAATTTTAACCTACTTTTAATAAGTCGTATCCGAATGAAGTTTTTTAACGAAATGAACGTTTTGATAGCAACAACTGAATTTGAGATGTTGGGATATGATCTGATGAGAGCGATTTATTGGTTATATACAACTTTTTTTTTTTTAAAGAGTACGTCTGCACTAGGAATATATCCTGTGTCGCGGGGGACTTTACAAATATACATGAAACGGACACAAAGAACACCCAGACTCATAACAACAATTTGTGTATCACCCAAAATGTTGTCCTATGTGGGGATCGAACCCACACCACTTAGTGCAGTAGCAAGCGGTGAGGTGACTTCTTAAACCATTATGCCATTCCTGCAGTTATATAATTATATTATAATTCTTCCTCAGGACAGGCACTTAAGTGAAAAAAAAGCACATCTCCACACTTTCAAAAGCATTTACTACATCGCTCCTAAGTGGCATAGCATGATGTTAATTAGACATGAATTGCCTATAAATTGATAACGATATTTTGGTATAAAAATCAATATTTAGATTGTTAATCTAATAATTTGATGCGGTAGTATGGAAGTCCGTAATTTTCAAAGTTAGAAACATAAAATAAGTAAAAGTTACGGGAGAGTAGCCGCGGGCCATTGCTTTTATTACCCCAAGATAACTCAAGGAAATGTAAAAAGAGTCCCTCGAAGTTTATTAAAATAAATAAGAGTTCGGTTGCTAAATTTTTCTTTCAATAAAATCGGTCGACCGATTATCTAAATATTTTGCTTTTAAATACAATTATACCGAATTTACAGTTATTCGGTACAAAGTTGCTCCCATAAAAGCAAACGTACAATATTTAGTTCTATTTTGGCTGCGAAAGTACGTAATATAATTCTGTTATTACAATGAGAACATAATATTTATACATAAAAAGAATTAGCAGTAGTATTGAGATTCTACTTCTTCCACTGTTCGTGTTTAAAATACAAAATTTAACTCTTTTTTTTTTCGTTAAAAAGACAACGCCCGCATTAGGAATATATCCTGTGTCGCGTGCGACTTTACAAACATACATGAAACGGGCACAAAGAACACCCAGACTCAGAACAACAATATGTGGATCACACAAAGTGTCGTCCCATGTGGGGTTTGAACCCACAACACTGGGCGTAGTAGGAAGCAGCGTGGCGAACGCTTAAACCACTACTAGTACGCCATCCGTGCAGTCAACTCATTTTTAAATCAAAATCAGTCAATTTAACTCGTTTTTGAATGTGCAAACGAAATTAAAGTAGAATTTGATGTTCCGTTATAAATAGATGTTTTTTTCAATTAAAATAAGTTATAAAGTTAAAATATAAAAATATAAATGACACTTGCTTTCACTTTTCATTTTTCACTTTTCACTTTTATAAATGACACTTTCACCTTTTGAAACTTTGATTTGCTGTTACGATCGACCCATTTTGAATAGGTTATAAGTTATGGAATATAATAACAATAACTTCACACATCACACACAGGGCCGTACTATGTAGGCAGATCCTGTACTATGTTAACCAGACTGCTGATAAACATACTTATATATTTTTAAATACATACATATTATAAATAAATTACGCCCAGACACAGAACAGAAGACCGTGCTCATCAGACAATATTTGTGAAGATATATCAGACCGTGACTATTACTCGTCAATAATTTTACCTAAAC